TCACGAAAGCCATTTGACTCAGGCCTCCCCTTCACAGGAGGCATTGCTTTGAGAGTTCTGTGTGCTAAAAAAAAACCCATTTCTCTCAGGAAAAAGGGAAACTTTTTAAATATGCTGTAATTCTTATAACCACATTTGGATGTAATTTTTCAACACATTTAGAATCTCAGACATACAAGTGCTAAGAGTAGCTCGGGTGAGACATCCTGTCAGTTCCAAAACATGGAGACGCCGTGTGTCTAACTACATTCTGTAGGGTTTTCAGTGGCTTGTTTATCAGAAGCAGATGATCAGACGCAAGACCTTCAGCCATTTGTGTAGCAGTTGATCGTGTTAACTGTTCACAGCACCCAAGGAGCCTTTTAAATTCTGAGACTCCCACCCACCACCACCATAGCTGCCTATTTGAACTGAAGGTAGCTGGCTAATCATTTCCTTAAAACGTGGCTCTCAAAAATAAATAAATAAATAAATAAAAATTTTTTAAAAAATTTAAAAAAACAACAACGTAGCTCTCAACCAAGGGTAACTGTGCTTCTGACAGGATACTTGGCAATGTCTGCAGACATTTTTGGTTGCCACAACTACGGAGGTTTTGCTGGCATCTCACAGGTAGAGGCCAGTGTAGCTCATAAATGTCTTACAGTGTATAAGACAATCCCTCATAATCAGGAATGATCCATCTCAAATGTCTACCGGAAGGCTGGGAAAACAAGCTTTAAGAGACGGTATCTTTTGCAGGGAGAAGATGGCATTTTTCACTCGGCCTCGACTGAATATCTCAGCGCTGTCTGCAGATGACGTCTAATCACCAGAAAAGTATTTTCTTTGATCCACTCACCACGCTGTGAACCCTTGACTGTGGTTGAACTTATTTATGTGGTGGTATATGAAGGTTCTGAGTCACGAGCTCTCGTCATGTTGGTTTGAAGACGAAAAGTTTGGGTTTTTTTTTAGCTTGGGTCCTTGTGTTATTATTTAAAAAAAAGAAAAAAAGAAAGAAAACAAAAATGGAAGAAAAAAAAAACAACCAGCATTAAAATGACCAGATTGTATAGTTTGTATATTTAGGAATGTATTTTTGAGAAAGAAAATTTAAATGAACTTAAAGCAGTGTTAAGTTACTGCTCTTCTTAAAATCATTTAGATTTCTTTTCCTCTCTTTTTTTTTCTTTTGTACAGTTCTTTTAGAAGTTTCACTGCAATAAGTATGTATGGGGATGCTAATCCTCATAGGACATCCTCCAGATGTCACAGCACAGCTGACCTTTCCTAGTTAACATATTTTATACAATGTTAAAAATAATGCACAGGAACTGTTTGGAGGATTCTCAGGTGCACCCATGAATCTTCATGAGTTGTGATGTGTTTGTCCTTGGCCACCTGACTCGGAGCCAACTGGGCAGAGCGGGCTGAGCACTCAGCAGCCCTGCTGGCCACAGGCCTGCCCACGCTGGTCCCAGATGCCCAGTGAAGCCACTGACGTGAGGGGAGGGCTGTGGAGAACTCCATGCAGTTTTCATCAATAAAGTGGCCTTTCTGAAAGAATGTTCCTTCTCTTTTTCTCCCTTACCCCTCACCTGTGTTTTCCTGTGATTTGCATGTCCTTTCCCATCATCCATTTCACACCCACCATCCCCTTTTGGGGATTTTTCTTTTTCCCTTGTATCTGTTCTACTAATTTACTAGTTGAATGAAAATGACTGCGCAGCTGGGGCATGGTAACCAGGCCCCCACTGTAAGACCGAGGCACACTGCACTATATTATATCCCCTGGTTTAATGTGCATGGAGCCCAGGAAGAGATGGAGGCAGGCTGTTGAGGCCCCATATCCTATGGTGAGTTCCATGAGGAGCACCAGGAGGCATGGCCTTCTCCAGGACATCATGAGGAAGGGGTGATCAGAGGGAGTGGAGTCCTCTGGACTGTTGACATTCTTCCTTGCTAACCTCACTCCTACATTCTTTATATGGTGATCTCTGTTCAAGCACAGGAAAATTACAGTGGCCTAGAATCCACTCCCCTTCCAGAACCTCAGTAGCCAGGCCTTCTCAATGTGCAACTGTTTCTCAACCTCCTCTTCCATGGCTTCACACTTTGGACACAGCAGTTTCCAATGTTCGCTCTCTCTTTCCTTGGAATGCCATCGTACACAGTGTCTTTAGGTGACTGTCAAATAGGGCTTTAGAGTACACAGGTTATAGCATATGTTGATATTATCCCTAAATGCATAGCATAGCTCAGAATATTATGGGAACAGAATATTATGGGAACTGATGTTCTTGAGGACCCTGCAGGCTTTTCTGTCCTTCTCTTAAGGGTGTTGACCCTTAAGTGGGCAGATGATCCACTGGAGAGTCACAGTGGTCCCATCAGGTACTATGATTAAAGCAATGTGAGTGTGGGACCCACCTGGAGCAGTCAGAGTGCTGCTCTGGCATTTTTCCATTTGAAAGTTAAATACCAAACCCAATGCCATCAAATCAATGCCATGTGGTACAAATTAAAACTACATGGAGTTTTCTTTGCCGTAATTTGTCTTTGGGGAATACACGTGGCTAAACATTGACAAACTGACAGTTCAAACCTCATGAGTTAGACCTGGGAGTGTACTTCCAAAAGGTGTCAGTCTCAAAACCCCTGTTCTGCTCTGCACACTGTTATGTACCATTGAGTCAGAAGCGACTCAGAACTGACCCTCCAGGTGGGTTTTCAGAGGCAGTAAATCACACAAGAGGAGATTGCCCGTCCTTCTCCTACAGAGCAGCTGGTAGATTGGGAGTGGCATGCCTTTGGGATGACAGCACAGTTTCTGACAACTAGGCCACCAGAGCTCTCTGTGCACATATGAGGTTGCAATGAGTTGGAATCAATCAACTCAATAGCAAATAACAGTCTCTATGAAAGCAGATGCCAGGCCTTTCTCCTTTAGTGGTGCCATTGGGCAAGTTCAAGCCCCACCCTTAGGTAAGCAGGAAAGCACAGGCTGTTTTTGCCATGTGGAGGGGAGTTTACCTGAAGGATGCTGCTAGTGTTCGCTGCCATAAAGTGAATTTCAACTCATGGTGACTCCATGTGACAGAACAAAGCTGCCCCACAGAGTTTGCCTGGTTATAATCTTTATGGAGACAGATTGCCAAGTCTCAGCAACCAGATTTTTCTCTTCCCAAAGTTCCCTACAAGCTAGGGCTCTGACTTTGTGAGTCTAAAAAAAAAAACAAAAAACACAGATATAGGGAGGAAAAGGGGGTATCTTGGGGGTTGTTTGGGGCCGAACTTATTGACACCAGAGGTTTGCACCACTTTATCCCAGGGGCAGTGCAGAAAATGGAAGAACTCTTGCCATTCCTCACCACAGCTCAAAAAGAACTCACCTGAACAAAACGTATTTGGTTTGGTGAATCTAGCAGCCCTGGGGGTGGTGCTTATCTGCTAATAAAAGTCAAGGGTTCAAACCCACCAGCTGCTTCACAGAAGAAAGATGTGAAGTTTGCTATAAAGGTTTCTGCCTTGAAAATACTATAAGGCTTCTCTTTGCTATAGGGCTGATACAAGTCAGTGTTGACTCTGGCAATGGATTTAGTTTTAGTTAATGTATTTAACCAACGAGTCCTAATCAGAAGAGTGAAAATAAGGAGGAAAAGTTAGCACAGGAGAAGAGACCCCAATAAGATGGATTGACATAGTAACTGGGGTAATGGGGATGGTGGGTGTGTTGGAAACAATGAGATTGGCTCAGGAGAGGACAGGATTCAGAGATATTGTGCCTAGAGTCACTGTGCATCACACATAACAATCAAAACTTCCCGTGTTCACTTCTTCTAACAAGGATCAGGTTTTCACTTTGCTGCCTCCAGGAAGCACAAGTTTGAAACATCCTACCTGTGCATGAGTAAAACTAAATGGAGCGCATTCTCCTGCTAGGAGAAAGGTGTCTCCGTGTCCTCCGGAGAATGGAGGGTTTGTGGGAAGACCACCTCTTACGAAGACAGACCCTCGTCTGGTGGAAGCTACAGTCTCTATAACCAAGTATCAGCAAACCAAGCTGTTTTCCCAGTTAAAAAACATATTTGTACACAATGAATGGGAGTGATTGTATGAAATACAGTGTGAATGGAGGACAGTGTGAAACACATTGTATATGCGTTTTGTGTGCACACCAATATAAAATAAAAATTAACCAAAAAAAGCTTTTTAAATTAAAGTTTAGATGTTTTTAAATACTTAAATTTTAAAAAATAATTTGTACTTTAAAAATCATGCATATGTCTTCTCTAGAATCTTGAGGAAATAAAACCCCAAAATGTGAAATGACCTACACAGGGTCACTCAGATAAGAAAAATTGGAGTTCAGGTTCCAATCCTTTCTGACTCCCCTACGTCTGTTCTTTTTTGACTCCAGTTTGATTCAGTGTTACCTCGTCACTTGAAGTACTAACTGAAGGGGCTTTGACCCTTTGAGTTTGAAGAATGAAGTCCTGACATCCTGTGGCTTCTCTGTGTGGAGCTAGTGAGAAGTGCAGGGTGACTAGGACACAAGTCCAAAAAAGAACATTCAGCAAACCTTGCTAGAGCTGAGTACCCAATTCAGAAAGCCAATTCTGTAACAAGGGGACTAACTAAAAGAATTCAAACTCCTATCTTGTTGCCAAGGCTATAAATTTTGAGAGACTAGAGACTACCTCAACTTTCTCCAATACAGGAGCAGGTGGGTTCAAAACTGCTGACCAACATAGAACCTGTTATACCACCAGAGCTCCTTTTGGGGAAGTGCTTTCCAAACAAGATCTCTAAAAGGATGAAGTAAGCAGAGAGAGAAGTTGTGAACTACAATCCAGTCCAGTAGGAGACCCAGACAGCCGTACGGGGAGCTATGGAATTAGGATGGCTCTTCAGAGTCCTCCTAAATTGGTGGAAAGGATGTCAGCCTTGGTACCTCTGACTATGGTTGCCTTTTTTCAACAACAAATCTTTTTTGGTATGGCAATCTGTGCTTTAATGTTCCCGAGAGAACCCAGTAAGATTCTTCTAGTTGACTGTCCTCTCCTCATTAGTCAGATTTCATGTTTTGCTTTTGGTTTTATATTCCTCTACTTCCTCCTGCCTTGTTTACTGTTCCTGCAAGTCTTCACAGTGTCTGCCCACAGCCAACTTTCTCAGCTCAGATCTCACCTCATTACATCTCCCTCCCAACATGGGCATACCATTCAGTATTGCCCCCAACTAATCACTCTGATACAACAACCTGATTTGTTTGTTCACAACACATCCTTCTCCGTAATAATGTTACATTCTCATCATCTGTCTCTTTCTAGAGTGTTTTTGTTTGGGTTTAAGCCAGAGTGAGTCCTTTAAAAATAGTTGCAAAAAGTGCAACAATGAATGAATGGAAATCCAAAATCTCTGTAAATGTTCATTGAAATTAATTTAAAAAAAGTTGCAAAAAATAATAAGTAAGTGAATGTCATGCAAGGCTGCTCTCAAGGTATGTTGCAAAAAGTGCAACAATGAATGAATGGAAATCCAAAATCTCTGTAAATGTTCATTGAAATTAATTTTAAAAAGTTGCAAAAAATAATAAGTAAGTGAATGTCATGCAAGGCTACCCTCAAGGTATGTCATTTTTGCTTTGTCATTACTAATCAGGAAGCAACAAACATTCCGGACGGAACAGGAATATTGTTGGGTGTCTGGTTACAGACACTTCCCTGGTCTGGTTAAGCCCTCAACCCCACCCTAGAGACATACATGTACCACTAGACAGCATAAAGAAACCGAACAATTCAGAATGCTAACACATTCAGTGTT